TTCTGAACCTCCACCTTATGATGGTCTGTATGCTCTTTTCATTTTAAGGACATATGTTCATGTTAAAAAATGAATTTTATGTCTTGGTTGAAATCTTTCTTTAATGTATTAAATAACACGTGTTAATTGTGTTAATTGTGTTAATTATAAAAATTTTATATAGAATTCACTGGTTATAATTGGGTACCAGCGGAAATGGCTACTTTTTTTCCTCCTGCAACTGATGATTTTGGTCAAAATCCTCTTTTAAATTCCTACGATGAGGAATTTATATTTAAAGGTTTCCTCGATAATATTCAAGAAAATCCAAATTTTATTTTTAATCCAATACTACCAGGAGATATGCCCGCGTATCCTCCGCCTGATAATGGTATAAATAATTCCATTCATCCTATGGGTACACCATCTGTCATCAACAACGTGTATAACCCTTCGCAAAGTCATCCTTCTGACATTTTGGCTCGCCATCAATTTCCTCCTTCAAATTCAACAAGTTTATCCCCTCGCACATCAAATATCACTCTTTCTCCCTCTCCAAAACATTCTCCTAATGAAATTAGGCAATCTTCATCACAGTTAACATCTCCAATTGATGACAAAGATAAATCGGCGACTCCATCTGTACCTGCAAAACGTAAACAAGATGGTGAAGACAGGACTAGGCGCCGGCCGTCCAACCCTCGTCTAAGTCCCATAAATACTAAACTCATTATGACTCAATCTCATAGTTCTACTTCAAGTCCTAGGCCGATTTCCCCATCTATGCAATTGTCTAATCTTTCAATTAATAGTGGTAACACGAATCATAATTCTATCGAAAATGATAATGATAACGACGAAAGTCCTGGAAATACTCCAAGCAGTAGTAATAATTGCTCTCCATCACCACGAACCCCAAATAGAGAATTAACAAAGAGTGAAGAAGAAAATGCTTCTATGAGTAATCTTGCTGAGACTGAATCAAATGATAATGATACCAATGTCGATGATTATAAATAAATATAATTAGCTAGATTATATTTATTGTGAAGAATAATGTTAAAAATTAGATAATACTGGAAATTT